AAAGTGTCTGATTAGAAAGGCTACCAAGGGTTACACCCATTATCTCTATTCAAGGCTTTAGTTTTTGTTAATGCATTTAAGACAGCCCTGCCTTGTTGTCATGAGAACATGCAGTCTATGGAAGTGAACCAATTTAGCTTTCCTGAATAGAAAATAAACTTGGAAGAAAATGTTACGTGAAAAACGGTTTTAGAGTTTATGAAAAGCAGCAGTGCTGCACAGACTTAAACCAATTTATTGGAAGTGTCTAATCATTCACACTTCTCCTAAAATCCTTAAAATGTGCCTTTGAGTTTTAGCTTGTTAAAATTTTAATGAGCTAAAACTCATTAAAATTGTTTAATGGTTTTAAACAAGAAAGTGTGTGGCGATTGTTTAATAATTAAATGCATTATTTTGCTTAGGTTTTTTTGTCGGATTTGTATCGTCTACTTTTTGTGTGAGAACCCTCTTTTTCTTTGTCTTGGAGATTCAGATTCTGGGATTGCCGATTGCTTCTTGCACTGAAATATTAAGTCTAATATTGACCGCATAACCGTAGCATTTGATTTGAAGTAAGCAATGCTGACTCACAGAAATTTAAGGACCTATAACGTTAGAAAATTAGGTCTGTTGGACTTTCCTCGTGTAAATTGAATTATTCCAAAGGCAGCTCTAACTTTTTTGAAGGCGTATACTCCATAACTTTAATTTTCCACAACAAACACTATGACTCAAGCAATTGCTAGGAACACTAATTTAACCTGCATAATGTCTCCATATTTTATGAAATATGTAATATAGGGACATAATCTCATGTACCCACATTACACATGTCCCCATATTCTGGATTTTTCTCTGATTAAAAAAAAAAAATCCAGAAACAGCCACGAGGTCCATGATTAACAAAGCAGCAGTATATTCAGTGTTTGTTGATGCTGCGTTAAGTAATTCTGCCTATAGTTTATTGCTGAGGTTGTAATGAGCAGTTGTAGTATATGGGACTCCTTTCCTCGTAATACAATCCAATACAGCCAGTGAAGCTTTGGACTGCATTAAATAAACAGATGTTCCCATAAAGTGGTCGATGACCAGACTATTTGTGTTTCCGTGCATGTCTGTGGGGGCCCTCATGAATTTTTTTCACGGTTGTGTTTTATTTTTGCACTCTGACAAACCTTATTTGGGTAAAATCTCCTGGGAGAGCTTCTTTTGGACAGCACAGAAAATACTGTCACGTTGTGCGACTGCAAACAAACCCGAACCCCCTAATTTTCACAAGATGTAACATTGGCACTTTCACACATGCATGTTGGAAGAAATTGGTTGGTCCGCAGGGGGACATTGATGATCTCAAAGGTAAAGTAAAAGGGGGAGGACAAGTAATGGCAAGCCAGCATGCAGTGTACAATGTAAGACAGCTTGGAAGACAGTTTTTTTTTGTTTTTTTTCCTCTCTCTCTCTCTGTGTGATCTTTTATTATTTTTTTGTTGATGAAACTTGACAGCGGATCTCTCCTCTCTGCTGAAAGTGGTGATTTTGCTACTTTTCTGTCTCTCACTTCCACTTGTTTTAGAAGCACAGATGTCATTTCGTCCATACAGTACACAAGATTGCACAGTTTTGGGTATTGATGTTGCCTCATTTAATCCACCTCTCTGCACTAAGGTGTTTTTTTTTTGTTTTTTTTTTTGGACTTTAGTTTTTATTCTGCCTGTGAGCTGGATGTGATGTTAAGCAGGTGAGGTGTTTTGATGTTGTACTCTGTCCATATTTTCTACTCTTCCTGAAGCTAGCTCATCAGGAGAGTGAGGATTAAATCCTTTCAGTTCTGCACCGTTCTTGGTGGATCAATCGATCTAGTTTCGACCTTTTTTTTTTTTTTTTTTTAAAGAAAAGGCTCCTGGTGTTTGTTTTGGGATTAAAGGGGGCTATTTAATATCTAAAGTACTTCAAAGAGCAACCTTAAAGTGGAGCTGCTGACGTCTGAGCGGAGCATGAAGCGAGACAAGCATACCGGTGTGGTCAGTGATGGACAAAGATGAGTCAAATAGAGCATGTAATATGTGATAAGAAGATTGTGACTTGCTGACTGCAATTAAAGCTTTTTGGCGTTAAATCAGGAATTACAGGAATGTTTGTGAATTATTACACGGTTAAGAAAATTGTGAAGCGTGAGCTCTGATCAATGTGAAACAGATTTCACGACTGACTTTCACTGTATGCAGTTATGTCCATGCAAAGTATCATGTACTTTGATACTTTCAAAGCAGAACATTTCCCTCCACAAAAACAAAACAATGTCACTGCATTTAGAGTGATCAAAGGAAAGTGTTGCTTTAAAAAAAAATGCATTTTTGCTTTGTTGAAAGGAAATTATTTAGAGGGGAAAAGGTATGAAAAATATTTCGTCTCGCCCCTGAACAGTCATGTTCTAGGCAAGGCAAGTTTCTTAGTGTATATGCATACACCTGTCAATCCAAAGTACATTTTATGCTATTTACTCAGAAGAGGAAAAGAAAGCAGCAAAAAAAGAAATGCACGGCTGAATTTTAATGAAGTTCTTATTATTACACTGCTAATTTATTTTGAAAGTAGAAAAAAATAGAAGAGAGCTCATGCTGCGGCATAAGCGAAAGTGCAAAAAAAACAGGGAAAAACACGGAGAGTTCAATTTGCTGCAGCAATTGACAACATAATTGTGATAATTATGAGGACAATATCAATAATTAAAAACTGTATCCTCTTAAAAAAAATCTTTTGAGTAATCCAGTTAAGTTGCTACATTCAGCTTACATTCACGGCTGAATGTAAGCTTTCCCTGAATGATGTCAATGCGTAGATCATCGGGCAGACAATTTATTTTGTTTTTCTATTATTTTTTCTCTTAGCTTCTCCAATAAGAAAACTCCAGATATTTCCTAGTACCATTAGTTTTGGTAGACGTTGTATCTCAAGTCTGATAACATACAATGAGCTTCCAGCATAAGAACAGCAGTTTGTTCATCAACTCAGGTTTGTTTTTTTTTAAACATTTATTTATCTTGGGAAGGCAGCCTGAATAGAAACAGTTTTTGTTGTACCTGAGGGATGCAACGTCAAGACTGGTAAAAGAGCCAATCTGACCTTAATGTGTTTCTGCAAAACAAGCTCCATTGTTGTTTTTCTTCTGCTGCTCATAATGTCACCACATTACGATTTTATGCCACCCTCTGACTGGTACTGCTGCTGACACATGAACAATATTGTCACAAAGATTTGGGTTGTCCAGAGACTCGTAATGGCCCCTACCCAGAAGAAGCAGCTGACAAAATGTTACATCATCAGCCAGACAGTAGAGCAGAATATGAAGAATCGTCTGTTTATATCTATTTCAATAAATCTTTGTGTAAAGATCGTGTCCACTTTTGAGAAGACTGTTCATGAATCTCTCCATTGCCTTCAGAGAGGTGGTCTAGTCTTTCGGCTCCCAGAGGGCTTGATAAAGAGCACAGGTCAAAGTGGAAGTTGGGACTGTCCATTCCACTGCCTCCTCAGAATCGATAAAAAGCAGGGGCCCCCGGAGTCCTCGGTGTGCTTGTCAGCGCTCAAGGCAGCGTGATGCCAGGTTAGCCTGCCTGTGCACCGGCAAGGTCAGCCACAGTTATGAAGAGGTCGTGGATTTGCGCCGGGTAAACGCATCGTCCCTGAGAATACAAAGCAGGAGCGCAGTGATAACTGTCAGTGAAAAGAGCACGTTGACGAAACGGCAAGGCCAAGCTGGAGGACGGGGGGAAAGGAGTTGAAACGGAAAAATACGGAGCACGGTTAACGACGGTGAAGGAAGAAGGGGAGTAGCGGGGATAAAAAAGAGGCACTAAGGAAGCTAAGTGAGACGGTGACTGCATGTAATAAAGCAAAGATTAACAAGAATCGGGATGTTTTTTTGGGCGTTTTTTCTGTCCTTTTGAACAGCGGGTGAATTATATTCCCACTCTTACCAAAAAGGAAGCAGCGCATGTGCAAAAGGGTGAATATCCAGCTTAAAACACACCAGCGAAGTTTTGTGAGGAGAGAGGGATTCATCAGAGAAGTGCACGGACAGTGATTCTCTCTGCCTGGAGGGGATTCTCATCGAGTCAAACAGATGGATTCCCTCATTTCGGTCAACGCAAAAAGCCATCCCTCTCTGATCATCCTGATGTCTGCCTCTGAACACAGAGCTGATTAATGCACGCAGTGATTACAGTTTAACTGAAAGGACGTTTTTCTTTGGATTTCGTCTAAAAACTCACAGCCTGACTGGTTCCAGACGAGAGACCTCTGATTAGTCGACCGATGTCGTCCGTGTAGGATCTCTGGAATGAAAAGGAATGCATGACGGATCACATTTTTGACACGAAGTATATTAAGAAAAACGTCTGCGGCCCTGCGGAGCAGCGAACAGTTGGAACGGGGGGCGGAAAAGTGAGGGCATGCTCAGTTGGGTTTAATTAGACTGATCAGAGTAGAGGTGACGTACTGGCAGGGGTTAGTGTATGAGCCCTCTGGGAATATCTTAGAAAGGAATGTTGTGGAAGATGAACAAATACAAATCTGACATGTAAAAAAAAATAAGCAGGTCAAACAGCTTCATTTATAGTCTCTTAAATGTGGTTACAGTTTTTTTTTTAAGTCAATTTGGTATATTCCTCGAATCATCCTCAACACCGTGGCTTACCTACAAAATCCAGCTTCTTTTTTCAAAATCCTCAGCCCATCTCTCAAAAGTAAATATCTGTATCATTGAACACGTCAGTGCCTCTGAATAACACGTTTTTTTAAATGATACATTTAAAAAGCATCAAAAAGTAGCACCTCTTACTCATTCCCCACAGATTGACTTTCCACCTGGTCAAATACTCACAACGCTGCCTAGAATGGAGTGAAGTGTTAAAAATCCAGTTGCATATCTTTCAAATGATTCATTATGGTGAGACGCACTTCGTCCTGGAATTTAAGCGTCTCGTTATTAGTCTTGTGCAAATCTCTGTACCTCGCAGGTGAAGTTCTTCGTCTGGGGAGGATCTCTGGCCACACGGTGAATGGCGGCTGGTCCTCCTGGAGTTCCTGGTCTCAGTGCAGCAGAGACTGCAGTCGAGGCATTCGGAGCAGAAAGAGGACCTGCAGCAGCCCAGAGCCGCGGTACGGAGGACAGACGTGCCTGGGCCCGGCGCAGGAGTTTCAGGAGTGTAACATCACGCCCTGTCCAGGTAGGACATTTTCAAATATTAAGCACAACGCCTTGGAAAAGTGTTCACATTAACTTTTTTTTTTTTGTCATACTGTATTCAGAATCACTTAGTGGCACAATATTAGGCATTGGAAGGAGAATTTTAATAAAAAATTATACATGGCTTTACTGTTTTTTTACGCATAAAAACCATTTTATGGCTGTATTATCTGTGTTGATGCCCTGCTAGAAGATGAATCTCTATCCCAGTGTCAAGTCTTTATTTATTTTATTTTTTTTTGCATCAAAGTGACAATAAAATTGCTTAATCTGAAGAAAGTTTATTTTAAAATGGCCTGGTCAAATCCAGAACTACATCTGTAGTGACCTAAAGAGCGACGTGGACAAGAAATTTCTCAATTATCAAACCGATTTGGAAAACCTTTTACAATACAGAGTGAGCAAACACTTTCAAGTGATGCTGATAGGCTCATTAACACTGGATCTTTTTTTTTTTTTTTTTTTTTTTTTTTATATTTTATTAATTTAGCCAATTATCTTTTTTAAACCTAAAATCCCTTC